TGTGATGCCCGAACTGACTTCGTGCAGGTGAAAAATTAATGTTTTTATTTAGTGAAGCTGAGTTCGTTTCTACTTAGGATACTTAATTCACTATTTTCCTAATAGATGGCATTAATGGTCCTGGTTTTTCACCGATTTCGACTTCAATCGAGGGAGGGGAAAAATTTGTAAAATTTATGTATTGAAAATCCTATTGTTGTGTTTTTATATTATATTATACTAGTAATATTATATGCTTCAAAATTTTGTTTTAAATGCTCTAATTGAATAAGATGTGTGTGTGATCCATTATTTTTTTATGTGTATGTAAAAATTGTAAATACAGTAGTTATTGCATTTAAAATTCTATTTTTGTAATAAAAAACCATTTTCTAACTTTTATAATTCTCTAAAGAACAAAATATAAAGAGTTAAAAAAATTTCCATCTTTGGTCCATTTCTCTGAAATATATGTTACTGCTAAGGGGCTAAAAACGTTATACATAACAGGGGAGAGCATAAATGTTGTGACAAACTTCTAGGAGGGCACATCATCAGAAATAACATTGCATAAACTGATACCCGGAAATAATGGACTCGTTTCTATTTTGAAAAAAATACCTATCTAAGAACACCAAATTTGGCCCTCTTCTCTAACTAATCCCCCCCCCCGAGTGTTTGTTAGAGAAAAGGATATCCTCGAATAAATCTTTTAAAAATATTTAAAAGAAATATTTTTTATCCGACGTGTGCCAGATATTTGACCACTCTATGCGATATTTAGACACCGAATGTCTTAAACAATATAATACTTAATTGATACTTATTAATATTATAAGTCTTAAATATCAAGATCATAACAGCTATAAATTAATTTAAATACAACCTTGTAGGTGGATAAGAATGCTATCATTTTATTTTATTTCATAACCATCGTTGAAAAGTCGACCCAATTCTTTGGATTTACTACTGCTACTAATGTTAAACTCCGTAGCCTTGTAATTTTGAGCCCAATACAGAAGAGGAAGAATTGGATCAAGTATTGAGAGAAATTTGCCTTCGTGTTGGACAGTTTAATGGAATTAGCCCGTATTTGAGTTACATGGAAAGGAAAAGTACGAGAACCTCCCACGGTTAGCCTGACGGCAAGGGGACTCCGTTTACCACAGAGGATATATCACGTGGTCGGTGCAAGCGGGATATGTATCGACCAGCCATCACTGGGACCCGCTTCACATCATTAGAAGCCCCTGAGCCATGCCTGCTATCAGAAATCACAGAAAAGTAGTTACAGGTGGATGCAATAGATAGAAATGAATGACAGTATAGGTCATAGATTCTCAACCTTTTTAACGTTACCGCCCCCGTAAGGAGCAAAAAACATTTCAAAGCCCCCCTTTGTGAAAATCCAGTTATTTGGAGCATGGGGACGGAGGGAGGTGTGCTGATTTATAAGAGGTAAAATTTTTAGGCAATTTTTTTACGCTTCAATTTTTTTTTAAATAATGTGTACATTAACTCGATAATTTTTCACGGCAGGAAATCGCAGTCTATTTGTTACGATCAAAATAAATACGTTTAAGGAAAAAAAATACAACAAAGAAACCTATGCTTGAAAAGAATAATTTATTCTTAATTAGATAATTAAAAAAACACCCAAAGTATTTTTTTAGCGCAAAAAAGTAGTATCAACAAAATATTCAAACAACTACGTTAGTGGGATGATTGTACTTAATGATTCAGAACCAATTTCTTAACGCTCGGTTCAATACTTTTAGTGAGATGAAGACGCAAATCTCCTCGTTGCACAATTTTGAGTCGATTTCTCCGTTTTGTTACAAAATCCGTAATATCACTGAATCCACGTGCGACAAGTTAGAAGGAAGGGAAGACAATTAAAAATTTTTTTAACTATAATCTACAGTCCAGGATGGAGACGACTGATGTTACCTTTAAGTAAAAATTCAGTGAGACGATCATCATTCAAAGTTTCATTAGTTAAAAGTTCGACCAATTCCTCGTAAATCTGAACCTCTGGTGTTTCAATAATCACAAAAGGGTTCATAACCTATAAACCCATTGAGGGATTTCCATGGAACAAAACATCTTTAAAACTGTCAGAAAAGTATCAAGGTGTTGACAATATTCTTGTGCATCATCAGAGCGAATTTCGTCTGCTTGGCTGAACTCATTACAACCAAAATTCTGCTTCCACAAAATGAGTTTTTTTAGAAGGGCAGAAATCACTGATTTTGTAGGGATCAAATTGAACTCGTCGTCTTGAAATTGTAAATTAACACCGTTAAATTTTACAGATAAATCAGTCAAAGTCTTTCTTAAATTCTAGCAATCTGTCTCTCAGAGCAACATCTCTGTTTTCGAGGAACTCAAGCACATAGTCGAAAAGATTTCAATAGCTATTGAGACAGAATCTTTTGGAAAGCCAGCAAATCTCGGTGTATAGTAGCAAGCGATTGAATTTTTCATTGTTTTTCTTACACAGATGTCTGAATAATCAATTGTAGTGAGCATTACTGTGAATTTTATTCACAGCAGATATGGCATATTGCAATGATTGATGCAAACGGTTGCTGAGATTTTTTCCTACTAAATGCTGTCTGTGAATCACGCAGTGAACAGCTAAAATATCTGATGCATCCCTTTGCAAAAGGGCGATAAACCCACCATTGCAGGAGCCTATCAGTGGCAATGAACATATTATTCGAAAGAGGAGTGTTTTTCTCTTTAAAATAATCTTTGACAGTATTAAAAATAGATTTAACTTTGATATCTACAATCAAGCTTTTTGCAAAAAGCAGTAATTTTTCCTACCTTTACAAACCGGACCTATGCCTACAGTAAAGCCTACATTACATGGCAAGGTTGATTCATCAACTTGAAGGAAAAATTCGTTGGTTATCACAAGTTTGCATAAAGAAATTTCCACGTCTCCAACCATCTCATCATTTCGTGCCCGCACTGTATCTTTACTTATGGAATATCTTTTAATTACATTGAATGCGGCTGTATGGTGTAAAACAGTTTCTAAAACTTCCTTGACAACCGACAGTATCAACTCAACTCTGATGGTATGAGCTTTAACAGATTTAACAATATATTTTGATATATTATAAGAAGCTATCAAACCATCACCTCATTTTTGTGATGAGGTTGCAAGTAACCCTGAGACCGAAGTTGCCTTCTGTAACGTGAAAAATGACAAATCTTTATTTTGTTTGTCAGGATGAGTTTTTTGCAAATGCTCCTGCTAACGGTAAGACTTCACTACCTCATTAGATAAAAGTTTATTATAAAGTAAACGCATGGGGGGTTGAGAGTTCAACAGTGTTGGTGGCAGCAAAATACAAGAAAGTCAACTATTTCTCAAAATTAATAAATAATTTATGATAAAGAACTAATTCGAGCACGTACCTGGCCAAATAAACTATAAGATCTAATCGAAACTGGGGAAAAAATCTGTAAGGAAGCTAACGAAAACCATTATAAGAAACACGGGTCAAATCAAATATTCATACTGAAAGCGCATGCACTTCAATTTCCACCAAATGACTTGAATGAGTCAAAGGCAAAAACTACTGACTCAGCGGAATAGTAAATAATAATAGTAAATGATTAAAATTTCAGAACAATTGAATAATTTATTGCAGAGTTACAGTAACAAGTTCAATAAGGTGTTGACCCGCCTCTAGCCTGGATACAAGCTGCCACACGGCGTGGCATAGACCGATAAAGCTCCCGGATGGTCTCTTGCGGTATTTTCTGCCAAATTCGACCCAATTGTCGAGCGAGGTCATCAACATTCCGTGCCAGATGCAATCGCCGTCCCATCATATCCCAGACATGCTCGATGGGGGAGAGATCTGATGATCTGGCAGCCAAGGAAGAGTTTGACAAGCTTGCAGACAGTTCATTGCAACATGTGCCGTATGTGGTCTGGCATTGTCCTGCAGAAAAACCAGCCCAGGATGCTGCAAAAGGAACGGTAGCAAAACAGGTCTTAGGATGTCGTCGACGTACCGCTGTGCAGTAAGTGTACCTCTAATGACGACCAAAGGGGTCCGGCTGTCAAAGGAAATGGCACCCCAGACCATAATGCCTTGTTGAGGGCCGGTGTGGCGTGCAATAGTGAAGGCAGGATCCCCCCTCTCTGCCCTGTGCTTCTCCAAACACGTCTTTGATGATCGTCAGGACACAGTTGGAAGCGGGATTCGTCGCTAAAGATTATACGTCCCCAGTCGGCATCATTCCAGCCATATCTGTTCAAAACATTCATGCATACGAAATTTCAAAGCAATCGGATGATTGCTTCTTGGTGCATCGATTTTTTTGTTATAGAGTGTAGTTTTAAAATTATCTTGTCCGTTTAGGTCTAATGAGAGATTAAACGCTTTGGTTCAAATCAATCATTCAAAATCAATCATTCTTTCTATATTGTACAGTTAGATAAAAGCCAATAGATCTTTAAAAAATCTATGTAAAATGAATCTAAAATCAAAAAAAAAATATTATATTCATTCACATAATAGTTACCCCATCTAAAAAATGACATTCATTCTCATAATAGTTACCCCATCTAAAAAAAATGACATTCATTCTCATAATAGTTACCCCATCTACGCATAAAAATGAGTTCAAGCATTTCTCAGAAATGAGATATCCTAAGGAATGACGTCTTTTTTTCTAATTCAATTTCGACTGAATATTGATCAGAATATTTACAATTTTTATGTAATTTTTTAAATATTCATAGGAATATTTCATATCTTTCTTAAATTGACAGTAAAATTAATTTTCACAGATTTCAGCAAAAGATAAAAATCTTTCTCAAAAAAGTTAACTTGGTTTCAGATTAATAAGATGACACAAACGTAAAATCGAAATCTGTTCACTTTCAAGAAAAATTAATTTTGATTTTACTTTCATTTTGAGAAGATTGAAAAGGACTGAGTAGAATGATTTAAAAAATAAATCGTGCAAAAATGTTGAAAATTGTTCCTTACCTTTAAATGATTGACTCAATTTTCTTCTTTTTATATAAAATTCGGATCTTTGTGACAAAACAATTTCTCTGTATAACTAAACAAAAAAAAAACGAAACATTTTATTTTAGTTATTCAATTACAGAATTATATTTGCTACGCATTAGAATAAATCAATTTTAGTAATTAATAATTGAAGTAGAAAATAAATATATACATTATGAAATACATCATATTATTTATTTAAAAATACAATTTAACTATTTTCATGTAATGATAACATAAAATAACTTTCAACAATGGTGCTTTAATATTAATTTTTTATAGAGTTATATTTAAACAATAATTTTTGCCGATCGTATGTGAAAACTTTATTTATTCTCAAACCTGAACTATATTTTAACGCCCATTAAGAATGAAATAAAATTAGATGTATATTAGGTTGGAACATACAGTCCAAATTATTATATGCGAACTCTCAGGCTTTTACGTGACAGCACTTGTTTACATTCGTGTATCTAGATTAGACTGTCCAACTGCAATGGCTGTACAATAACAATTAATAAATGAATTATTAATTATAAAACAATGGAACAGAAGGGTTATGCTTACATTTTAATGGGAAGACTGAGGCCGATCAGCCAGAATAAGAAGTTGGAGGGCCGTACAATATGAGTTGGCGGGCCACATGCGGCCCGCAGGCCGCCAGTTGGACAGCCCTGTATTAAACGATATATAATATAAATTCAACGATTAGGCAGATTGGATAGGATTGGATTGGATAGAAGAATTAAAAATATTATAGAAGAATTAAAATACATTGTTTTTTATTTTCATTTGTAAATTAAAAATGAGGTATGATTCACTGAAAATTCAACTTTTTTTTAATTTATTAATAATTTATAGAAATCAATTATTAGTACGTTTATATTTTTTGATTATTGGAGACGTGACTAAACAAATGTTGTTTAATTAGTTTCCAAGTGTCTCCAAATGCTTCTAAAACTAAAACAAATGTTGTTTTGATTAAAATTTTAAAGTTTAGATCATTTTAAAATGCTCGGTCGAAAGGTTTCATTAATTAATAATAATTAATTTCTCATAACATTCAATACATTGGTTTAAAACTAAAGATGCACTACGATTTAATAAACAACACTGGAAAAGCTGACGATGCTCAAAATTAATATTTTTCATTGCAATCTTCAACCTACTAAAAGACATATGGAATTCTTCATTATTACAGTTAGTAAACTATTTTAAAGATATCCAATTTTTAAAGAGAAATTCTTCTTGCAGACGATTCTATACGAAATGATAAAAAAAAAATAGAAATAGCAATTTATGTCGGCAAATAATTAATTAATATTAAAGTATCATTATTTATAAGGGTAATATATTATTTATGATGCAAAGTTTCGTAATTTTATTGTTTTCATAGAAAAACCCTTTATTTTCACAGAACTTCTGACATTTGTAGTAACCTGGAAAGATTTCGGAAATGGTGGCATCAAGCGAAATATACAATTTTGATAATATTTTAGACACTGCATTTTATTATGCTGTTGAAGTATTAATTTCTCAAATTATTTTCTCAAAAAAAAAAATATGCTGCACAACATGCACTTTTTATTCAGTAAGTGTTAGTGTCAAACCCCGTGATTTCTCATTTCTCAATTCTCCGTTTTAATTAGAAGTACTGAAAATGTGTAACTAGGTGTCTAATTAATGAGATAATTATATATACATTTATATAAGTTCAAAATGTAGAGAAAACAAGAAAACAATTACAGAATTGTAATTTCGTTTGAAAAATTTTTTGAGTGCTCCTCACACTATTGTATTGATATATTTTGCTTTGGCTATATTGATACAATATTAGAAAGCACTCTGTTTCGCGGATATAATCGTGTGAGCTGATGAAAAGATTATATCTCTTATTTTCCGTATTTTTCTCCCCGCTTCTTGTTATTTTTACTTTATTATTACTTTTCTTTTTTCCCCTTTTTTCTTTGTTCTGTAATTTTTCCCTTGTTTTCTCTACATTTTGAACTTATTTTGAGTTCTATTTACTTGCCGCTTATGCGCAATAAATAAAACTTATTGTTTTTCTTAATTTTCCTCGTGTTTTTTGTATTATATATCCCTCCCCTATAATTTTATGAGCAAAAAATAGAAAATTGAATTTACTACATAATAAAATAAAGGTTCTAAATATGTAATTGATAAATATTGAAATCTATAAAGAAAAAGAAATGATATTAGTATCAGTTGCTAAACACTTATTTGTTTTGCATTGTATCGATGTATATATTTCATTAAAATCGGTCCAGTAGTTTTAGAGATAATCAAGCAGATCTGAAAATTCTTCTAATTTCTAACACCAGTGGTATTTGACTGAGTTTCAGGACATGTTTTATATCTAAAACTAGTAGTAGCTGGTGTTTTTAATTTATTTCTGCGAAAAAAATATTTTTCTCCAAGTTCTGGGATGAAAAGAGCCTCTGGAAAAAAGTTTTCCAAAAACACATCTAGTTACATTGATATTAGACTCTTAGATTTTAATCATCAAAATCTACTTGAGCCAACACAAAGGTATGTATTTCTGTGTATATACACTAATGATTAATCACCATATATGTGTGTGGTATACATTTTGTGTGACCTTCAAGTAGCAACAATGTTACAAGATCATTAACTAGGCAAGTATGAAAGAAGTATAGTAAAAAAAATCAATCTATGGCTATTCAACTTTATGGTTCTAAACTGTGTAATTGAAGTTTTACAAAATGTGATTTAGGCTCAATATGAACAGTTAAAGTGAGTTTCTATCAAGAATTTACAGAGGAGATTAGATCTATTTTTACAAATAGTAATACATACAATACTTAACAAGTTTTATATAGAAACAGAGCAAATTTTGTCTCATATGTGAGGTATTGATTTCAAAGACAGCATTCGAAGGTTCACTCTATATTTTAAATAGGTAAAAAAGTACTATAAAAGATACAAAAGATTATAAAAGACATAAAAGATAGAAAGTTATAAAAGTTATAAGATTTGTCTTATAGACAAATCTTATAAAAGTTATAAGATTTGTCTTATAGACAAATCTTATAACTTTTAAACAGAATTTATCTGTGAAACTAAAATAGCCATTTTTTGTGTTTACAGTGTTGATATATCGACTGTGATTTTATACGATTTATTTCCTTTCAAAAAGTAACGATTAATTTAAAAAAAAAATACTATTAATTCCTTACACGCAGGAAATTTGTGGTGGGTTATGACGTTTTACTTCAATTTCATGTAAATCAATGATATGTAAGTGAAATTTTAATGCTTTTATTTACTTAGTATAAGTTGATTTCTTCTACTAATGTTACATTTTTATAACTTTATTCCTAAAAATGTATCAGTTTCATTTGCAAAAAAAGAAAAAAAAATACTTGTAATAGTTTTCTGTCACCTTATCGCGCATTCTTGTACCACAGGTCCTGGACGCGATTTTCCCTAATGTCGGCACCTCCACTCGCCGCGGTTCGATTGGACAACTGTTTCATCGCCTTATCCCTCACTGAGAGGCAACCCTACGCTCGCCTCAATACAGCACTCGCAAAAGTCATAAACAAATCTTCGCGCTCATGGATATTTTTATAAGTTGCTGGTTTAAAAGTCGCTAGTTGAGTTAAGTGAAGATTTTATCCTCGTTTAAGACTAGAAAAATTCAAATAAAGAGAAAAAATACTTCAATAAAGAAAGAGGAAGAAAAATTTGCCGAAATATCGCATAACGACAATACATACACACAATTATTTCAGTTAATTACGCAAATATTTCGGTTAAAAAAATTTTCAAATAGAAACTATTCCTGTAAATAAAATAAAAATTTGGAGTAATAAAATATTTATATCTTCAAAATAATCAATTTCTTTTGAATACCTTAATTAATAAACTAAGTTTTAAAAAAAATAATCTCCTATGTAAATCATCACATTATTAAGTTTTCATATTTTTAAAAAAAAAGTATCGCAAATTTTTTTTACGCAGTTTGAAAAATATTTCTTTTTATTTTCTTTACTTTTACCAGGTTTTTTCAATTATTTCTATTTTAGAAAAGATATGTATCTTTCTTCAAAATGCTTACAATATCTTGAAAAAAAGAAAAACCATTCCGTATATCTTATACTGAACAACTTTTGATTGAAAATATTTTATTCATAAGACAGTCATTAAAAAAATGAGAAAATTTTCATTAAATTTGTTCAAATACTTTCCGGAAAATACGTGCTATGATGACAACAAGAGGGAAAATATTTTTACATAAAGCCATGACATAAGGAAACAAATCTATGGTATATTCACTACTATTTTCGTATAGTTAATTTATTTTTTATAACATCAAATCATATTTATTAAAACTTAAAATTGTGAAGACTAAACTTTTTTTTCAACGTATCTTAAATTTATCTGGGAAAATTCCGATATTTTCCAATACTCATGCTTCTATCACTGCTATTTTTGTATATCTGAAATTATTCACCTGCTTTTTATTTGCTTCCTAATTAATTCTATCATATATTTTGCTATATACTTATCCATTCATTCTATGCTCATTAATTTCAAAACTTATTCATCTTGTAACTTTTTATTCATAATTTTATAACAACTTTATAGCTTATTCGATTCCGTAACTCAGCAATTAGTCTATTTAATTTACAATTTTTTTTATTCAATTTAAGCGCTTATAAATAAGATATGGAAAAAATTATATGAAAATTATTAAATTTATTATCACTTTAAAATTAGGCCTTTTTTTTTCCTTAGTACAAAAACACATTTACTAACTTGAGGTAGCGTAATTTAACACATTCATCTATTTTGATAAGATTTAGAGAAAAGCAGGATTAAAAAAAGTGAGATGTGTATTTTAATTTATATTCTGCTTCAAAAATGAGGCGCAGTAAACTTTCTTGTTATTATTTTTGAAGTATTGATTAGTCTTTAAAATTTCAAAAGAATTTTTAAGTTGCTCGAATCATATAATAGTCTCATTTGCAACAACTTTTTTTTTTAGATTTTTGTTTATTTATTTTTATTTACACAATAGCTTTTTTTTGTAATTTACTTTA